TCACCCCCCGTCCCCGTTCGTTTTGCTCTTAAACACCCAAATTCCGTTGCGGTCGGCTTGCCCCCCCCCCCCCCCCCCCTCCCCCCCCCCCCCCCCCCCCCCCCCCTCCCCCCCAAAAAAAACAATCCAGATCCTCGACTCGACCTGCGAGTCCTGAATCCATCATCATCGACCGCGTGCTCCAATCTGCTAAGTTCTATCACAGATCTCCAGAAATATTCGGTAAGTTACCTGGCCCGTGGTCCGTATCCGCTGAAGTTGCTGCAGGAGAGGGGTTTTCAAGGCGGATGGGGTAGTGGTGCAGGAGGAGCAGCCGGATTAGTGGATAGATACGGGAAAAGCACTCTTGGAGGCCATGCGCTCGCAGTGTTTGGATGCATGGATCTTAACGAATGGGAGCGACGAGGAGAGCAAGATGGAGACGCTGGAGAAGGGGGATTTGGTGTTCGATGGGAGAAAGGGGGCATGTTGCTGGAGGAATGTGGTTCTGTGTTTGTGGCGGGTGAGAACGGCACGGTCATCAGTTGGACGGCAGAGTCATTCACGGGCACAGTTGAGTTTGCACAGACGGGGAAGGGCTTTGGGTCAAACAATACACTTCGACAATCACAACAGAAACATAGGTTGGCGGTCACCGGCTTCGATTCAACTCTAACGTCAAGACGCGGGCCACACAGCCTGGCCTCGGTTTGCTCGTTCAGCAGTGACCACCTTGTTGTTTCCCGACTATTTTGTAGACTTGGAAGCAAATCCAAGCTTGGGCGTAGAGCCTCCGTCGAACACTACATACGCCGCCTTCAGCGCCATATCACCAAAGATGTTGATGCCAATATCGCTGCTACTCTGCAAGCCACCGAAGCAAGCCGATGGCCCCGAAGCAGCAGGCGAGAAGTTGAGGTAGTCAGCCGGGATAGTGATGTCTTTGGTGCCAACGGTAAACGTGAAAGTGGGCAGCGAGGCCGAGCAAGGGAACACCCAACCACCAGCCGATTTCGACATCTGGGCCCCCGACACCTTAGAGTAGTAAATCTTGACAATGTTGTCGGGCAGCAGTAGCAGTGTCGTGCCCGTGTCAGCGATGCCGGTGACCGTTGAGTTATACGATGTGTGCCCAACAGCGTAATTGGCCGCTGTAAACTGCCAGTAGCCCTTTGCAGAGTTCACAGGGGTGTAGGCAATGGATCCTGTATGCTTGGAGCTGTTGATGAAGCCAAAGTCGTAGGATCCGGCTATGAAATGTCAATGATGCACTGTGTTGTCTGGTGATGTTCCTTACGAGTGTTGTGCTTCAGGTCAGCAGCGAAGATCGGGGAGCCGAGCGACCCCTTGACATTGTCAAAGAAAGTCTTCTGTGACTCAGGAGACACTGTGTTGATGTTGGAAAAGCCGAGACCGACGAGGCCATCGTTGTTCTCGTCCTGCTTGAACTGGTCGGAGACTTTGTTGGCTGCCTCGACGGCCTGTCTTCTGAAGGACACTCCGCCAATGTTCACAATATCAGTGTACACATTACCGGAGGCTCCGCTGCCATCGCCATAGGAGATATCCCAGGTATGGTCAGACAGTTGCTTCGATGTTCTGCTCTTGGATGGATTATAGACACTGTGGCCGCCTTGCTCGCTCGAGGAAAGCTCAGTGCTGTAGACCCAAAGATCTGCCGATCCGGTGTCGAAGTCCAGGTGTAAGGTCTGAGCCGGAGTACCAATGTTCACCGGGGTGAGGTACTCGCTGTCGAACGGCTCAGGGTTGGCGACCGCACTGCCGTGACTGCCGTGACTACCGGTTCCGTTCACGGCCCGTTTGATACTGACTGATACCTTTGCCGCAGCAGCGAGGTACGGCGGCACCGGAACGCCATACTTGCGGTACGTCTTGGCTAGGGCTTGCGCGCCATTTCTGACGTGATTCTCGTTGCGAACCTGATGGACGGTGAAGCCTTGACTCTTCGGGTCTGCGACAGGAGCGCTGAAAGCGAGCGAAACGGCCATAGAGGCCAAAAGGAGGGCCTTTGTAACAGAAGGCATAATGAGTGGCTAGTAGCAGCGAGCTACAGGTAAGGAATGTGTGGTAAGGCTTAGGGTGGTCGTCCACCCCGATCTATGATGAAGGGGGGGAGGCATTTCTATAGTAGGCAGAAACGACGCAATTTTACAAGTCATCTGGAGATGTTTAGTGGCATACCCAAGAGAAGGTCAAAGAGAGAGATTACACAGTACAACTGCTGTGCTACGCGGCGCATACACATGACAAAGCTACTACATACCTCCACCATAGTAGCGGTATTGCAGTACATACATAGCTCGAGAGATGCCCAGCCTTGACCTGGCGGATCAACTATGTACTTTCATGGGATAGGCTACCAGGTCCCGGTGATTGGGGGTGGAGGGCGAGGACCTATCACATCGTAACGGCCCACCTTGTTTGTCCTAGAGTAGAATAGGCCAGGCAGAGGGGAAGAAGGAAAGAATCTTTGTGGCGCAACGGGACGGCATTTTAATACGAGAACGGGACGATGGCAAGAAGAGTAAAGCCTGGCTGAGGCTCAGCTTAGGGCAGCTTAGGGGTAGCGGGCTACCGTGCCAGACCGTGCATCCGTGATGATCGGCTCAGGCTCATACAGAGTAGCCCGTCTGGAAAGATGATGATTTGCTTGGGCCGTGAGGAGGAAAGGCGAGATCTCATTCTCAGCTGGCTTCAGACCCCGCATCGTTGAACATCCCGTTTGCATGGGATAGAGTGCTAGATGAGGTACGTAGGTATGGATGTATAGGCAGTGAAGATACATATGTATCGGTCCTGATGATTGCCCGTTCGCGCCCATACTGGGGAAGGGGGGCAGTGGAGTTGCGATTGTAGAATGTGATGCCAGGCTATGGACTTCAGCTGTAGGGCTCGGTGCAACCCAGAGCCGTTCATGGAACGGCCGGTAGGGTGCTGTAACTTGCACGTGGTTCACCGCAGCGCGGGCAAACTCCAAGGAGCTGGTCGAGATTTGGTCGGGCACGTCTTGTGAAGACCTCCATCTGACCTACCTCCTCGGCTGAGAATGAATGACTCGCACCAGGTCTTCACGGCATCTGCGCCGTCCGTCGCCGAGAGCTCATCATTCCAGTACTGGGCGCAGCTGGCATTCGACTATCGGGCTGCAAGCGTCGCTGAGCTAATGACGGTTCACCCCCGACTTGGCAGGGCATCGACTGGTTCCAATGAACGACAACGTTCACCGAGCAGAGTCTCCCGGGATGTTGACTGGAAGTCTAAGTTCTGTTGAATCTGAATCACCATGGATGGAACCAACGATGGGGAAAACCTAGCGCTCCTTCGAAACTGCCCGTCAATGGGGAGACACCGTTGAGTTAATTCACGTCCAGTCATGAGGTTCTGTAAGGTAAGGGAGATTCGGTAGCTTAGCTGAATACCGGTATATGCCGGACTCTTTCCAGGGCACAGGAGACGTCATTGAGTCCACGTCCAGTCCCAACCTTAAGCTCAGTAGATCGATTTTGGGCCAAAACAAGGCAAAAAGCAAGAATCACTAATAGTAGGGAATGAATCAAAAACATACAAATCGACCCAGACGGGATTCGAACCCGCAATCTCTAGAGCCGAAATCTAGCGCGATACCATTTCGCCACCAGGCCATTGCCAATCAAGTCGAAGCAAACTCTGATGATTGGATGAAATTTACGCAGCTTATCAGCTATCATATTGCTGAGTCGATTAGCAATGCGGAGTGCGACACGCAAACTACTGATTCAGGCCCCACCAAATCAATCTCATGTAGGGCAGGCTAGGTGGCTCAGCTGAAAAGCGAAAAGGTGCACGGAGACATCCAGCAATTCGTCGCTTAATAGCACGCGGGGAAATCATAGTGCCTGATTGTATGCCAGCTGCTTTTTCTGTATGAAATGCCTCTTAAAGGTAGGTGTACGATCAGGGATACACTCAACTCAACCGTGAGGCACTTTACAGTATTGAGGTAGCTTCCCCAGAATCAGTGGACCAACGCATCCTCGAACAGCCGTCGCAGCTGGTCCCTCTCCCGCTCCAGCTCCGTCGCCAGCCCGGGCGCCAGCATGAGCACTCTGGCCTGCGGGATCGTGCCCTCGACCAGTGCATCGATATGCTCTCTACCAAATCCCAGTTCCTTCAGCCCCTTCGGCTGGTCTCCAAGCTCAGCCAAAAACTCTGTGATCGCGTCCGCCAGCGCCTCTCCCGCATCCTCTCGCTTGACGCGCGTGATGTCCACGCCGAAGGCTTCCGCTGCCGCCAAGTGGCGCTCAGGGTTGGAAGGGCCGGTGAAGCGGAAGACGGCGGGCGCAGAAACGGCGACGGACACGCCGTGCGGGATGATGGGTGTGTTCACTTCATAGCCAGAGTGTTGGTAACCAGGATTCTGGCCCGAGATGGGGTATGACATTCCTGGTATGAAGTCAGTCATCGTTTCAACTCGAGCAAAAGAAGAAGATCAGGTGGGTAGGTGGTAAGTAAAATGCATACCGTGACATAGATGAACACCCGCATTTCCGAACCCGACGCCAGCCAAAGTCGCGGCAAGGAGCATCTCACTCTGCGCCTCGTAATCCTCAGGATCCTTCACGGACCTTGGCAGGTACTTGATCGTGCTCCTTAGCGCACTGAGGGAGAAAATGTCACTTATCGGGTTCGCACCCTGATAGGCAGGTCTCATGATCGGATTGGTCGGTCGGGGTGTTCTCTCGTTGAAGGGTATGGCGGTCCAAGATTCAAGTGAATGACACAGAACATCCAATCCCGAGCTTGCTTTCACGGCGGCCGGCATGGTTCTCGTGTTGAGCGGATCGCAGATACCCAGTGTCGGTTTGAGATTACGATGCGCGATACCCGTCTTCGCTTTCTTGGCTACGAGATCGAAGATGGCGGTTCCCGTCGTCTCACTTCCTGTGCCAGCTGTGGTAGGAATAGCCACCAGCGGCTTCAGCTTCTTGTCGATCGGCCTCCCGTTACCAAGGGGAGCATTGACGAAATCCAGAAAGTCGGCATCCGGGTATTCGGTGTACAGGTTCATCAACTTGGCCGTATCGATGACAGAGCCTCCGCCGACGGCCAGGAAGGCGTCAGGCCCATAAGGCTTGGCGAAGTCAATGGCTTCTTTGATTCTTCGTGCCGTTAGTGTCGTATATAGCCTAGACAATACAGCTGTGGCACTCACGAGCTGTCCTTGGGCTCTACCCGGACTTTGTCAAAGATTTCGTATTCCACGCCTTCTCTGGACAACGCTTCTTCGACTTGTTTGACAGCTGTCAGTTGTCTGACCGTTGAGTCCGTCACGACGCACACGCGCTTAGCACCCATGTTCTTAAAGTCCATTCCAACTTCCTGAGTGACGCCAGGTCCAAAACGGATGGATGAAGCAGCCATCTCGAAGGCATATTCCTTCTGCTGAGAAGGGTCCATAGGCGAAGCGAAACCGCGCCTGGAAGTTTGCCACGTCCGCTGGGCGTAGCTCTCAATCTGCGGACGGGCATGATGATGGTGATGACCTGGATTTGAGTGACATGGACAGTTCGGTGGGTGAGTGTACTGGACTGTCCGGAGCAAGCTCAGTGCCCGGGACGCGGTCTGTTGATATCAAGAAGTCAGGGTTGGATCTCATCGAATTGGATGACGATGTCAATGCCTCGGCAAACTCACGCTTGGCGTCACACGAATTGCGGCGGCCATCCTGCCGGTAGCAGCTGTGTAAATAAAAATTAAATAAAATAAAAACGTGGCAGCCTGCTTGCTACTCAGGAACTGGGCTCTACAGGGACGTCGCTGGAAGAAGATGTCGGCTTTCACACCGATGTCGTGGGGGGATGGCTGGATGGCTGGAGACGCAAGCGACGTGGGGTAAATGAAGTATGTACTGGACATAGTCTCCAGTCCCAGTGGAGTTCTCCCCGGCTCAATGAGGCCGGCGATTTCTCATCTCCGCACCAAATAGCGACAATGACACTCATAATCGACTAGTCCGCGCGGACTCCTCCGCAGCTCCGTTTGCTAGCCATTCTAGCCATTTCTCCAAGCCGTTACGAAATGAGCTGTACCAACATGAAGCCTGTGAAAAGCATCGTATTGCCAACTGCAAAAGTTCGCCAACTGCACTTGAGTTCCCGGCATGCACCATGAGGCATCAGATCTTCACCAGGGTTGTTGACACGCGTAATGCTACGCTTCCTGCAGCTCACAAAACGCGGATATCTTCCCAAAGCGGCTCCGATCCGATTGTCAACTCACATCTACACATCCCTTGCGTAAAGTAGCTCCAAGTGAGTCACTACGCCGAAGCCCATTCCTGTGCCCCCAAGGAATACACACAGCAACCCGTAGAGACGTCATTCGGAGATTCGATGATTAGGCAGCATGATGCTGGTTTTCGGGATATCATGTATAAAATCAACGAAGACGCCGCGCCATCACCAACATGATAGCATACAATTGTATGAATAGTTGGTCGCTTCCAACTCATACACGTAGCCAGCGACGTACGAGTGCTGTTGTCAGCTCCCTAAGCTTTGGAATATCCCATCGTATTATACCCTGGACGACATGTCCGCGACCCCCGGTACCGCCGCGCCCGCCGCAGAAGGCCGGATGCGCATTCGCGAACTCCTACCTTCCCTCCACCTCGGCGACTGGGCTCCCGGCCCTCTCAACTCTCTGACCGACGTGCCCGGCGTCCTGGTTCACACACAGGAGATCCGTAGCTCCGACGGCGCCGTCAACACGGGCGTGACCTCGATCCTGCCACGGAAGGACTGGTTCCGCAGCGCCTGCTACGCCGGCCTGTTCAGCTTCAACGGGTCGGGCGAGATGACGGGATCGCACTGGCTGAACGAGACCGGTCTCCTGCACAGCCCCATCATCATCACCAACTCCTTCGCCGTCGGCGCCGCCTACCAGGGCATCTATGAGTACGCCATCAAGTCGCTCGGCACCAAGTCGGGCGAGGTGGATTGGTTCCTGCTGCCCGTGGTGGCCGAGACCTTTGATGGGTATCTGAACGACTTGACGCAGTTCCCTATCACGCCGGGGCACATCGTAAAAGGGCTGGAAAGCGTATCCAGTGACAGGGTGAAAGAAGGCAACGTCGGAGGCGGAACGGGTATGATCTGCCGTAAGTCACTGGCACATCCCAAAAAAAAAAAAAAAAAGAAAGCAAAGACCGCGACCCGTCGTACTTTCCGGGCCCTCGCCGCACATGCTGACCGACAATCCCCCCCCAGACTACTTCAAAGGCGGCACCGGCAGCGCCAGCCGCGTCGTCCCCGGGTTCGACACCGCCGGCAACCCCAAGGACTACACCGTCGGCGTCCTCGTTCAAGCCAACTACGGCCGGAAGCCACACCTCCGCATCGCCGGCGCCCCCATCGGCCGCCTCCTCGCCGCCCAGGACGCCGCCCAGGCCTCCCTCCAGTCCGAGAAGGACCGCAAGGACGGCAGCATCATCATCATCATCGCCACCGACGCGCCCCTGCACCCGACCCAGCTGCGCCGCCTCGCCAAGCGCGCCACCGTCGGGCTCGCCCGCGTCGGCGGCCAAGGGCACAACCCCAGCGGCGACATCTTCCTCGCCTTCTCCACCGCCAACGACGTCCCCGTCCAGTCCATCAGCATGACCCGCCGCGCCGTCGACCCCTTCAAGCCCGCCGTCAACGCCGCCGCCCTCGTGGACGACAGCTCCATCAACGGCCTCTTCGAGGCCGTGGGCGATGGCACCGAGGAGGCGATCCTGAACGCGCTTTGCTCGGCGGAGACCATGGTTGGTAACCAGGGGCATCGTATCGAGGCCCTGCCGCTTGAAAAGGTGCGGGAGCTGATGCAGAAATATTTGTGAGCTATTGCTAGACCTTGACCTTAATAGAGAGACAGTGTGCTGCTTGATTCTGATATTAACTGGATAAAACGTATGTGAAGATGACAAGACAATTTGAACGATAGAGGAGGCATGGCTGAATAGACTCAATTTTACAAAAGTTGAAAAGAAAAGTCATCTATGTAAGCGGCCAGATGCACCTTAGGTATGCAATGATGGGATCGACGAAAATATATCTACGGTCACATGAGTAGACATTGCGGAATCCAGGACGACATTAACATCTAGTCATTCTCATTTGTACAAAACCTCAATTCGTGATAGTATCAGCCATCCCTAATGCAAATCCCAAAGCGAGCCCTTAGAGCTCTCATCCGCCCATTCATCATGTGCAATTCCCGTGATCCGTGGCCTCGGCAGTCCATGGCCTCTTAGGTAGAATGATGAATGGCTCCCCCATTCACCAGATCCGACCTACCGACCCGTGTTGGAGAAAGCACTCTTCACGTCTGCCCTTGGCCATTCAAACAATACATCACCACCGTAAACATTTGTCGTGATGGTCGAGATGCGTACCTCGACCTCACCATAAAATTTCTCGCACTCGCGGAGCACGCGATTGACCAAACCACGACTCAGATTGGGGTCATCAGCGTCTCCGAAATGCTTCTCTACTCTCTTCCGTAGGACTTCGATGCCCTTGCGAACCTCCTTGCCTTCGTAATTGCCTAGGACTTTATTGAAGGTAGATTTGGAGTTACTGGGCTGGGCAGCGACGAGAGAAAGATTCTTTCCAGTCGCGAT